GAGGGAGAGGGTCAGATTTACCAAGATGGATGAGAGGAGGCTGGAAGGAGGGGAAGGTGGGGGTGAGAGGGTGTAGGGAGGAGAAGCCAGGTGGGAAGATGGGCGAGAGACCCCCTGTCAGGGAGGGGAGGGAGGCGTGGTGGGCAGTGGGTCTGTCCTTGAGATGGAGGCTGGAGGGGGCGGGCAATGCAGTCTGGGTGGACACAGGGAAGTGAGGTGCCGAGACGTCCAGGCTTGGTGTCCTGGGGGGGCCTAAAGCAGGTCCCTATTCCACTCGGCCCCAGCACCCCCTTCCTGCTCTCTCATCCCGACAGCAGCCCAGTTTTCTGAACCTTCAAAAATGGGGGCCTGTGGGCTTCTGTTGAAAAGCAGGGCACAGTGAGTGCTTGGGATGAGTCCGCTGTTGCTACGAAGACAGCCACGGCCAATGCCTGCAGGCTGGGCCCTGAGTTGAGCACTTCATGGCCAAAATCCTGTGGTTTCTGCAGAGCCATCTGAGAAGCCTGGAATTCCTGTGCCCATTTTCCAGATGTATAAACAGAGGCCCCAAGAGGACAAGCAAGTTGCCCAAGGTCCCCCTGCTTGGAAGTTGTGCAGCTGAGGCCCGAACAAAGGCTGCACCCTTTTCCTGGTATCCCCATGTTCCCCATTCACTCACTTTCTCTACATATTTATTCATTTAGTCATTCAAGAACCACTCTCTGAGCCCTTCCTGTGGGCCCAGTCCTGGGTAGATCACTAAGGAGCCATTAGAAAATGCTGGGGACACAGCAGAGAATGAGACAGACAAAACTCCATGCACGAGATAATCACAAACCAGTCAGGGGACTCTAAATACTGGGCCGACATCTGATGATATTAAGGAATTATTGTTCCACTTGGTGGGTATCAAAATGACAGTGTTGTTATATTTGTTTAAAAGGATTCCTTAGCTTTTGGAGACACAGGCCAGAGTGCCGATGGATGAAATGATAGGATGTCGGGCATCTTTAAAAGAATTCAGAGGTGGGGTGGGGGACAAAAGAGGATTGGCCAGAAGCTGACATTTGCTGGAGTTCAAGATGAGCCCAGAAGGGGTCATTCTGTCACTCTGTCTACTTGTGGGTCTGTATGTTTAAAATCTTCCATAATAAAAAGTTATTTTAGAAACATTCCAATGAATTCCTGCCCTTGAGAAGCTACCATTCCAGTGGGAGGAGGCAGGTAAAACAAACAAACAGAAAAGCGAAGGATAGGGCAGGTGGCAGCAAGTGCTTTGGAGACAAATACAACAGGAAGTCAGCAGCGGGGGTGTCTCCGGGGCTTCACTGAGAAGGTGACATTTGAGTCAACACTTGAAAGAAGTGAGAGAGGGAGCTATGTGGCTATTGGAGGGAGAGCATCCCAGGCAGAGGGAATGGCAAGTGCAAAGGCCCTGAGGCAGGAATGTGCCTGTTGTGTTAAGGGACAGCAGGGGGCTGGTGGCTGGAGTGGAGTAACCAGGGGGGCAGGAGATGAGGTCTGGGAGGGAAGGGGCAGCCCGTGCAGCCCTGGGTGGGGGGGGGCTACAGTGAGGATTTGGGCTTTTGCTCTACGTGAGCTGGGAGCTATGGGAGGACTCTGAGCAGAGAAGGGACATGTGGACCACATGGGTTGAGCATGTATGACAACTGGGGACACACATCCCTCTCAGCCTCACTCTCAGTATCCCCGCTGCCCTCCCCACATTCGCTCACCCACCTTCGAACCTGGCCCCCTCAAGGTGTGCACAGGGGCCCAGAGGTGGGCTTATGGGGCTCTGCAGTCCAGGAGAGCCTGGGCAGGGGTTCGGGGGACCTCAGTGGGAAGGGGCTCCACCCAAACCCCAAGCCCCCACCTGCTGGTGGTGCTGTTCTCCCCTTGGCTACATCCTCCCACCTCTTCCTTCCTGTACCCCCCTCTGCCCGCCCAAACGGCCCTGGCATGGCCATAACCCCCCACCCCTGCCTGCTTCCCAGAAACTGAGTCACGGGCTGAAGGAAACTGCGGGATGGGGGGCGCTTCCCTGTCCTGGCGAGAGCCCTGCCCCGCCCCCCGCCTCACTCACCTGCAGTTCCTGGAACAGCAGGTCAGCCAGGACACGATGGCAGAGCCGGGTCACTCGATCCAGAGCGCTGGCCGAAGCTTCCCGGGCCGGCTCACTTTCAGGGGGCCCCACCCTGGCCAGGCGCTCGGCTAGAGCCCTTTGGGGATCA